GAAGAGATGAGGTTCCGTTCACGCGGAAGTAGATAACCATCGTTGTGTGACGCTTCTATTTTATGCACATTATTGATCATTAAGTCTTTTTAGTCGAAAATTTCTTTTTGTGAAATGTTTTTTAATATGGTTGAGTTTTCTTGTTATAAAGAATGTATGTAAGCATTTGTCGCAATGGTAACTACATCTGTTGATAAAACTGGTAAACTCTAATAAGAATCAATCTTGGCGCGATGTTTTAGGGGAGAGAACAAGACACGTGCTCAACAGTGGGACAGGAGGATTGTTCACAACCAGATAACCAATCAATGTCGAGTGTGCTCAGAATGGAATCAAGATTATCATCTCGACAGTTGTCTGAGCCACACCACCCCCCCCGCGAATTTCAATCAAACTACTCGGGATTTTCGGCAATCCCAATTTTCCCGAGCCTCCCTCGACATACAGCATTTTCACAAAACCCGTCGTTTCAACGACGCACCATATGAATGTTCCAAAGGGAGCTCAGGGTTTCACAAAACGCACAAATTCGTGAGAAGCTTGACTCTGCTGAGACCAGGCAATATGTGTTTCAAGGAGAGGACAGAATGTCCAGAGACCAAGAGGGGAACGCAGTCCATTTGGTGCACGAAGAGGAGGAGGGCAACGAGGAGGGAAGAGGGCCAACAGGCATCTTGGGTTGGCCCTGGGAAATAAACAAGAAGTGAAATTCACACAAGCAACTAGATTTGGCCATTTCAATGCAACAGTGCAAACTATTTCGGGTAGCCAAGTTGACGAAAGTTGGCTGGCAATATGTAGAAATTCTTCTTGTTCAGAACCGTGACACTGCGGGTTTCGTTTCGACAGTTCGGAGGAGCGCAGCAGAACGTTCGGTGGTCTGGCGGTCATGGTCATGCCCGGGGTGCGGATACACGCTGATCGGTTTTGTGGTAGTGGCAATCTTCGGGATTATCTTGTTAATAGATAGCCTGAATTGTCGCTTTAGTGACTTTTTTAATTTTAATGTTATAGTCGCACGCAACAAATGATGTTCTATCAGATATTCAGGATTTAACATAATTAAACTTGAGACATTAACAGAGAGAGAATTGGAGATAATTAAAATTGGCCATAGGTTGAATCAGTGGAAAGGCGTGTAACTAAATAAGTTCTAATGTTGATGTTTTGATTGAAAGGATATCATGCATTTATTCATGGATGGGTAGGTTTCTATTTGGGGCTGGGCGGAGCTTATTCCTGGCTGTGGAAGACTACTTTTTCACATACGCGCTATTCTTTTGTTATACACAGCACGATGACGTGTTACGTATAGCATTACAACACACTAGCTTGTGTGACAGGACAATCATTACCTAAAATTGACATTTGTGGTTCCTTATCTACGCCATTCAGTTAAAACAGCGTTAAAGTTAGGTAAAGGAAGCTTAGAATAGCCAGGCCCAGCCTGCATGTGCTTTCTGATCTATGGGGAATTTAGTTAGGATTATTATGCAAGGTTTAATTTTTGTATTCAAGAAAAAAACCGCCAAAACCGAAAACCAGTTTTTTGTTAATAAAGAGCACAAATATAAAAAAAGACCCAAGAGATTTTTGAATGATAGACGCTTTTTTTGGTCTTAGGCAGGTTGGGAAATCTGAAAGGCTGGTTTTCATTGTTTCCAACACGTTTGTACTGTGCAGAGTTTCGGTTCGAGAGTTTTATGTCAACTGAATGAAACACGCGGGATAGTGTATGTTTTACATTTTCTATTGCTTAACATTAAAGCCCGACTTCACAGGCGGGGTGGTAGAGCGTTATTCAGGATTACAGACGACATTTACGCTTCAGTTGTCGAGCCCAATTATGCTATTCGGCAGTAGTTCTATACCAAAAATAAGTTTAACGTGTCAAGGGCCGACACAGATAATGCCAAGAGCATTTACAGAGTAAGATATGGGGGTTACAGATTTACTACAATACATCATACAATAGGCGGAATCGCAGATCAAGTGGACATTGAACCGGCGCAATATGCGTTGTTGCTGCTGATTTGTCCAAATGGGGAAACGTAAGATAGGTGAAATTTGGTGTCCTGTGTAATATTCCGTCACAGAGGCCAGCGGATATAAAAAACACATCACACTTCTAATACAGTGCACAGTAAATCGGTAATTGGTTGTGGGCGGTGTGTATTAAAGCGATAGACGCACAGTTTCTGTGTACAGATTATAGTTACCATACTTTTTACGGATTTTCTTTCAGAATAGGTAACTTTAGGTCTTGTTTTTCTTGAATGCATGTTATTTTTCCTGGCGTCGTTTTTCGCTTATTTTAATCTTTTCTTGCTAGGGCCCTGGGGGAGACATAGGACCCTCCCGAATCCGCCGCTGGGTGGGCATGATCAATGGATCAAGGTGGGTGGAATGGGTGTGGGGCATGGCCACTCAAAACTGGTTCAATATATCAACAAAAAGGTAAGTATATTAAGTTACAAGAAATTGTATAAAGAAATGTAGCAGCAATAAAACGTACCTGTGCCAAGTTTATACTTGTTTAAAATTGATATATTATCACTTTTGGTATCATCATCATTATAGCTGGTTGACTGGATCTGTCGGTTCGCGTAGCGTGTTGTGTCCGCTGCTTTTTTCACCCGTAGGTTTGTTCGGGACGAAATTCAACTCCGCAAGTCTTTTGAACCCTAGTGTAAAGAGAATTTTTCGCACCTAGAGGTTGTACGGCCAAGGGATGTAGAGGTTGGAGGGATTAAGGTCGACGATTCTACAACAGCATTTGGTTTCTTGCTTAAGACAACTAACGAACTTGGTGCATTGAATTTTAAACATCGCGATATCAGTTTTTGTTGGGAACAGTGAACGCCATGGTTGGGGCAGTGGGTTTGGTTGATCGACTACGCGCAGTTCCTTGCTAGTCACATACTGCTATCCGCCGCTCCTAACGGCAAATATATTTACTCGTAAGCGAGCCTCTAGTCTCTGGGGACTGTTTATTGGAACATCTTCTGCTTCATGACGCATTTTTAGAGCTCTGTTCCATTCGACATTCGGGGGCTGTGTGTTGCCGTAAGAGTTCCCGGAACAGGACTTACTGTCCGCTCCGAGTTTGCGAATTATCTGTGTCTGGCCGTGTTCTCCTCGTGATTTTTTAGCATGGAGAAGGGCGTACGGTGGTGTTACCGTCTCGGATTGGCAGTACAGCAGTCCACTCGTTGTGGCCGCATGTCCTCGCGCCGAACAAACAAGAAAACTATCAACCTGCTTCACGTAACAGACTTCCCTGCTCGTCGGGTGAATAGAGAGTCGGTAGTCTGCTCGTGTCCAATTCTGGCGCGTAACCATTGGGAGAGTGCTTTCCGCGTCAGCCCTTTTGACGAAACGCCAATCGTCTTTCAGGACACTCTGTGTGGCGCGCCTCGTGATGGCCAACAGGTCATCCTCTCTGCGTACTTAAGAAGGGTTTGATACCTGGGGTTCTGGAGTAATTTCTACCCCCAGACCTGGGAAGCGGAGAAACTGGCGGGCCGATGCACGTCGTTGTATTTGTTGATGCATGAGCGGACAGCGCTTCCGTGTTCATACACATAATCGCACGCAACACCAGGTATCAACCATCTGGATTACGAGTCCAGAAAGCCCTTCCGATGACCACAATTCATATTCGAACGGCCCCTGTAAATTCTGTATTATGCGTGCAGCCTTTCTCGGTTCACAAATTCCATAGAGTACGTCCCTAATATATAACCTGGATTACCATGCCGCAAGCCCTTGCCGTTTAACAGATCACAATTCATAGTTCGTACGCCCTCCAGTGCGCGCAGACTATGTGGTTTGTCGTCTTGGGAGCTCTGGTCGTGAAGGAGTTTGTGTGCCGGTCACAAATTGTTCACACGGCAGGACGTCCGGATACATAAACGTTATGGAAGATTTAGTGGATATATATATATATAGAATCTGCGCATATTTGCGCTTGAGGGCAGATATTCATGTGACTTCAACGCGATGAGTGTGCTCACGACCTCGTCAATTCTGCCTAGCTTGTTACAATGCAGAGAATATGTGTAACAGTAAATCTGCCGATTCGCCGAAAAGCCAAGTCCGAAAAGTCCGTTGTCGCGAGCGCTGGCAGGCGAGATGTACCGTGACTAGTTAGCTGGGTCGTCGAACGCGCAGGAGAAACTACGTAAACTTGGAAGAAATGCCGCAGTTTTTGAATTTTCTTGCAATAAATTGGCTTCACAAGTTACTGACGAGGCCCTCCAGTTCCCGCTCGAACTTGACCGCTGCAGGCGTGAGGGGAGCGGCCTCTCCAGGCCAGGGGTGTTTTACGCAAACGCGTCTCTTCAAGAATCTCTTTAGGGCATTGGGCGTACTACACATTGAAGGTAATCCTCCGTTAAGTTATTTGTTGTTTGTTCGTAGTGTGAACAATCTATTCGATGCCTTTTACCCTTCGACCAGGTTACGGCAGGCGCCGTTAATGAACTAGTGTTCCACAAACGATCATCCATGCTGGGAATCTGGTGTTGGGCTGGAATTGTTTTAAAGTTAGCACTTGCGGCGAGTGGGTAGTTACGACAGATTTTTGATTAACAAAACCGTCTTTTTTACGCCCTCCGGGGTGCGGCCGCGGCTGGGCCTTTTGGTCGTTTTCGCATTGGGCTGAGGTCAGAGCGAAAGCATGTGTTCAATGTTTCTATGCAGTGATAGGTTCAGCCTAGTCTTCCTAGTGGTCTGTGCGTGGCTACGCCCAATTACTAATATGTGTGCATTATCCACTGTTTTGCGTTCTTATTTTTGTGTGTTAAGTTATGTCTTTTCTCTTAGTTTATCTCTGTCTTATTTAACGTCAGTTTTGCGCGCGGTCAATAGTGTGGTGTCAATTATTCGTTGGTTCATTTCTACAGATCAATCTTGCAGTAATTAGTCCCCCGAGAGATTCGAATATGAACCCTCTAGGTGGCCTGGAGTCTACGCGTAGAAATCCGGAGTCCGCTGTGTGCGTCTCTGGGACGGCGGGATGCGCAAAGAGATGTAGGCTGGGGTCCAGTTAAAACAGGAGTAGGGTGTATTAGTCCGAGTGACACGGAGGTCGATAGCCGGCTATTCATGTCATAGTGATCAGTCGCTTCTTTTACAATGGGATACGCGGCTGACCTTAACGAACGTCTTTTCGGATGGACTGCCCCTCAATTATTCTGTAATTAGCTTGATGTCACCGTTTATGATCCATTCCAAAATACCCGTTACGTACTGACTCCGCACGTGAGGTTTGGGAATACGCAATCTTCTGAATCCGGATTCAGACGCCTAACTCCGGGTATTGATGTTCAAGCGGCGGATCCATCGCGATAGAGTGGCGACCTATGAGAACTTGAGTTGTGGCTTTGCCGTCTACAGCTGGACGAATAGCAAGTAAGTACTATGTGGATGAGCCTTATTCTTTGAATCTTCTGTATAGATAACGAAGTATTGGCAGTATCTCCGTGACTGTTCGGCGTGTATTAGTCCGTCGTACAAAGTTCGGTCCGGAAAAGCCTCTGCGGGGTTAAGGATACTCTGTCTGTGTGCCTCGGTCGCCTGTAGTCCTGCTGGCCTTATTGGGGACAAGTGTTAAAATTGTATTGTCACTCATTGGCTCGGATATTAGAAACGATGGAAATATTCGGAAAGTAAAGCGTAGGGTTACAAGGGCAGAGTGGGAAAGAGGGAAGTTACCTCTGATAGATGTTGACATTAAAGAACTCTAAAGTAACTACGGATGCTTTTCGCGGCTATGATAATTAAACTATAAGTATTTATGAATACATTTAACAATGATATTGTCATTCGTTAGAAAATACTGAGGACCTCATATAATTTAAATAAAAAAAAAAAAATAATCTAATAAAATGATAAAAAATAGAAAATAGATAACATAGAGCAATCAAACATTATTTCTTTGCCTCGCTTTTTGATACGCTCGACGTCTTTCCTTCGTCGTAATCGTCCCTTTCCTTACACATACACAGCGTATAATCAGTTTTGGCTTAATTTTTGGCCTGTAAATTTTTTTTTGTTTCAGACAAAATGATTTATGGGAGACGTCAACATAGAGCAGAATCGTACAGGACAGCAAAACACTGAACCAAGACGAGACAGAAACTGTTGTTTCTTTAAATAATATTGCCAGTTGGAAATTTCACATATGATTAGATAGTATGGGTAAAAAATTTATTTTAATAAGGACATTTAAGGTCTCTCGCAAGGATGGGCATTGATTTATTCTATACTTAACTTACATGATTTCGCGCTCTTTTGGGTGTAATATTTAGTCGGAAAAGTAATCTAAATTTTACTTAAAAATATTCAAATTTTATTTAAACAGATTACGAAGTGTGGCTGCCATTGGGTCATAACGGCACCGCAATCCGCATTGATTGGATTTCTTTGCCATAGCTCCAACCAGCCGCGCTTGCCAGGCGTAACTTGATCATTTTCGCAGGGCAAATTGTTAGCGCTGCAGCTTTGTTGAAAATCTGGTGAGGGGTGGACAACCTGTTGGGCTTGATGACACCTAAAAGGAAAAATACAAAGAAAAAACAAAACAAAAAAAACAGGGTGTGTTTAGATCAGTAAACCGGTGGGGACGAACTTGGCTTTTCTGCTCTTACAGACAATTCAAAACGATCTGTACATTATTTTAAACAACGTAGGAAATTTCTTAGAAAGCATAACTCAGATATACAGAGATATTTCGGTTTTGTCACTAACCATTGTCGCTATGATGTGATAGATTAGAGATGTACAGTTCTCTCAACATATCCATAAAGGAGTCGTATGATAAATCATCCAGCTGTCCGAGAAGTACACGAGCTTGACTTTTTAGGTAATTGCTAACTATAAGCTTTTGCTCATCACTTTTTGTATGCTACTCGTCATAAGGGCAATGGGTGTGCGACTCAGAGGCTCGTATGAATGTCATATTCTTACCTATAGGCAATCCATAGTGTAAGCACTCTCACATAGGTTATGTGACGAACGTTATTTCGGAAGATTAAGACCTGGTCACACACTCTGAGTTGGGTACTGAACATTGAGGTAGCGGAACTATAAGGAGGTATTGTGTGCGGATCCAGTAGAAACACGTCATTCTTTCACAATAAGCCGTGGTTTTACTGCCTAGTGCCTTTGAAAAAATTTATCGTAATGAAGTAAGTGTAGAGTCAACATTGCCGGACTCTATTAAAGCAAATTTTCAAAACCAACAATCAAGACAAAGCAGCGAGGACATATACACAGTGGCTAGACTAGGCAAAGGGCAGGGAGGGATCTAAAACAAGGTTTCATTTTGAAGTACTATCCACTAACTAGCATGATTGCGAGAATCTAGTTCAATTTATCTACAGCAAATGTAAAATGAAAATTAGTTCTAGGTGTAATAAATTATTGAAAGTGTGCCACGGTAAATACACAAATTTACATAGTGAAGATTAAAACAAATTATATTAAAATGTTATTATAACAGAATAAGAGGTTAATTCACAAATAGTAACGAACGAGTGGTAATTCTGTACGGTTATAACTTGGTTAGGAAAGTAGAAGATTATAAAGTAGCTCATCACACAAAGATAAATTGTGAATGTATGTCCTACTTGGTAACACTATATCATCAAAGACTGCGCATCGCCTTAGATCAAGGCCACTTCGACCCAGTAGTCTATGGCAGCGCGGAACCATTTGGACTCTGAGGTTCATATGAAAGAGGACGAGTCAATGATGGCCATGGTAAGAGAAAACCGGGATGGAAAGGGGAAGAGGTAAGGGAAATAGCAGAGGGAAAAGTGATATGATGGATCGTCAAAAAAGATGTTAGAACAACAAGTACATCTAGAAGAGGTGACTCAAAAGTATATTTATGTATTTAGGTTTTGAGATATGCTATTATATATATATATATATATATATATATTATATATATATATAGTATATTTATAGTTATTATTTATAGTAAGAAAAGTATATTTAAAGTTGATACCATAATAAGAAATATGGCAATAGAGCAAGTATAGGAATATATTAATCTTGCTGTCGCAAACTATCCTGTATACGTAGATCGTAGTAGAAGAGCATTAAAAATATAAAAAATAAAAGAATATCAGAACAAGATAACGATTATTGTCTGTCGATCAACTCGATTACCCATTATCGGATTCAAACACTGCCTTAGATTGATTTTCAGAACCCAACCATCTTGGACAAAGATTCGATGAAGTTTTCTAAACTTGTATCTAAAACTCTTAATGTAAAAACAAGGGATATCGGAAATTCAGTGGTGACACCAACGTATTTATCAATGTCTATGTCATCTTATACCAAATTAAAAAAACAAAAAACAAAGTAGAACTTAAAATTAACTTAGGCATGCGAAAACATCCAATGTAACCAAACTATAATGAAAACCAATTAAATTAATTACTACTTTAACCTCATTGTGCTTGTTTACCTATAAAAGTGGACGTTTCTAAAATTGAAAAAATATATTCCGCATATGTCAGGAGACTAGTTGAGAGCTTAGAGCTTGTCCCAGCTGTGAATATGCCACGCTGTGGCCGAGATACCCGGAGTGGCGAAAATCCCGCAAACATATGTGTAGGTCGGCGCCGGATCTCACGCTCCGGGAGAGAAAAACAACACCATAGCTCGCGATACATGTACTCCACTTACGGGATTGATGATTTCATCTTGGGTAGTTGATTCCTCCAGAATCCCACCCTCCTGTCTTTCTCTCTCAGTGCCCCGGAGAGCGCGTGCACTTACCGCGCACTTCCACCTGGAGGGCGATGGTGCCGCCGCTGGGCACCACGTGGTCTGTGAGCACGCTGGTGAAGTGCGGGCGTCGCGCGTCGCGGGGCACCCTCCTGCTGGCCGCCGCCAGGTGCTTCTCGCGCCCTGCGCAAACACCCCACCTCCATGCACGAATCTACACAACTAACAGCATTTTATACTTTTTGACTAATGAATAAAGCAGATTTTGACAGCTTGACCAAGATCTTCAGATAGAGTGTAAACTGTAGAGTTAAACATTGAAAATTAAACATTATGAGTACAAATGAACTAATGTAGAGGTAAAGAATTGTTTATGGGTAACATTGATATTTTATACGTAAAAATACACTTACGGCAACAATTACCTCAGTAGGTGAGTCTATTAATAAATGCAATGAAACGCAATGCAATGCAATGCAATGCAATGCAAAGAAAAGGAAATTCAAAAGTCGTCACCTGCGAAGTCGACGTGCGCCGAGATCTGGTCGCTCCAGCAGGCGCTCTCGGCCCGGCACGTGTACTTGCCCGAGTCGGCCGGCTCGGGCGCGTGGACGGTGAGGCGGCACACGCCGTCCGCCAGCTGCGCGCTCTGGAAGCGCGTGGCCGCGGGCAGCGGCGCGCCGTTCAGCAGCCACGAGACGCGCGGCGGCGGCTCGCTGCGCACGCGGCACTCCAGGACCAGCTCGTCGTCGGCGCTGTGGTACGAGTCTGCGCACGGGAGCGGCTTCAATAAAGGTCTGAGCATTGGAAAGGCGTGGAGGCAACGTTTCGAAAAGGCCTAATCTAATATACAAAACCAATGTTGGTTTTTTCGTATTTGATGTGCTGTCGTACCATTCATCCGATTGTGATAAAACGTGTTCGACTTATTGCTTGCACTTGTGTAAAGAATATATGCATAATACAATGGGAATGCGCGTATATCTGTCGCACATAGATGCACAATGGGGGCGTTGTTAATGATATACTGAGTTTAGGCTGACTCAAGCTGAACAGAAGCTCTACTTAATCCGCCGCACCCTCAAGTCTGTTGTGGATATCGGCAGGAATTATTACTTGAACGTTATCTCGGACAAGTAAATTAAATTTCTCTAGGGCAGCGTCATAGCGAATGTATGCTCAAACTTGAAGGAGAACGTTTTAACAATATGCTACTTGGCAACCGTGTACAAACCAGGACATACGAGTGGAACAAATTCATACTCGCGAGAAAGTCTTTTTATTAACACTTTTGCCGAGTGTAGCGTAAAACCTTGTTAACAATCATGTGGCTAGAGGCGTGTGAAGTATACTACATTGCAATGGCGAAACATTGCCGGGTTCACTAGTCTTTATAAAACTAGACAAGATGCTTTCAAAAGCCTGGAGAAATGTTTAGAAACTTGTAAGTTCTGTAAGTGCTCAGCCACGACGTTTCGCAATGGCCTGAGCTTTTCCAAAGCATAGAGGCGATGTTTCAAAAATGTCAAAAGTTGAAAAGTCTAGACAGGAACCTTCAAAAAGGTGAAAGTTTTATGAAAGCCTACATACAATGTTTCGAAAAGATTTAAGTTTCTTAAGTGTTTGAACTTGACGCTTTCAAGAGACTAAACTTTAAATAAGTCTACAGACGTGTGGGAAAGCTCTAAACTTTATAAATGCCTAGACAAACGAAAATACCTAAGCTTCATAAAAGTTTAGAGACGTTTTAAAAAATCTAAGCTCTATCTTAAGCTCTAAATATCTTAAGTTTAAGTCTAAATTAGGAGCGCGACGTAAGGGCATACATTCGCCTTTACTAGGTGCAGCCTGGCTCCCTTAGTGTAATACAGGACTACGCGCAACGAATTTCAAGCTCCACTTGGAAAATTTAACATGCGAGATGTTAAAAAATGCATCTGATTTTTTGAGAATTCAAGTTTTATTAAAAAAGGCGATTTTGTCTTTGAATTTAGTAGATGAGATTGCAATAAGAAATAAATTTCCTCCATTGAAGAAGTAGAACAACTTCTAGGAAAGTCGATTTTTTTAATTTACGAAATTTCAGACGTTTAAATGCAAACCTACGCTACATTTAGAAGCGTACATAGCTGTATTTAAGAAAAACAGTTAACGGCAAAATTTGGAGCTGTTTTAGAAAACATTTTATACTTGCATTTTTGTGAAATAGTATCAATTTAACTGAAAATCCGGCAAGGGCTCCATTATATCGTTTTAAAATCTAAATGTTAAGAATAAATTTCAGTTAGAAAAGTCTTTAGATTCATTAATGTATTCATTTATTGGCGATGTGTTGTTGGCGTCACTACATATATAAGAATAAAAGGTGTGGTCTTGGCCATCATTATTGTTTTGTAATAGCGTCTTTTGATAGCTGTGCCGTCTTAATCCGTTTACTGGTACAAAATATAAAAATATAATAAGCGTAAAATAAGTAACGGGCTAATAGATGTATTATATTACATCAATTTTTCTTCTTTAAATTAAAATTATATATTTACAAAAACATATAACAATAATCTATTTATTAGTTTATTACTGAATATTTTGTTAAAATTACTTTATATTTTATACTTAATAATGTTGATGATGATGATGATGATAAGCAATAATTTGGCTAAGACAACGCCTTTTCTTTTCAATTATGTAGTTGTAGAAGAGGGGCAGAAACATTTCAAATATTCAGGAGTTTTAATAAAAACCAGACATATTTATAACCTCTTCTTTTTCTATCTGAAAAAACAAAAATTCAAAAAATTTGGATCCATTTTGAAAAAAAATGTACCCTAGGGTCTTTAATCCCCTTCCAAAAAAAGATGTTCCAAATTCCCAAGGTGTATTTCACACACGAATATGCAACGGACAGATGAGGGACAGAGACATTCATTTATTGTAAAAAACAAACTAACTATTTCAGTTCTGAGACCCCAAAAATGTGTATTTCCTTCAAAATCTCGACGTCGATTTTTTGCAACATATCATAGCTTTCTCTATTCAGTGAGAAACTGTATACCATGAAGATATAATTCGACTATAAGCAGCTATGTTTTAAAATTCAAAGGAACTAAAATCAAATAACAAGTTTCGAATAATAATGAGATCGTGCTTTTCCACAACCGAGGCAATCATCATATGCGTATGTTGATGATTTGCACTCCACAATCTGTTAATGATGAAGTTAATATTCAATAAACTAGACACATGAATTTAAATAACTTTTTTACTCTTACAGATTTAATATTAGCAATATTAACCGAATTAGAATTTTTATTACTACACTACTTCATCATGAAATTAAAAAGGGTTTTACAGCCTGGAAAGTTGTTTTTCACTTTGAATCGCATTGTAAATAAATATTTTTTTTTGGCACCGTTTGGAATAACTACGTCTAAATCCCATCTAACAATGAATATTGAATACTTACATCATCATGTACAGAAAGTAAATTAATGAACAACGAAGTAAAATTTATACGTATCGCAAGAAAAACTTGTATTCCCGCCCCTTCCAAACGTTTATCAGGAGCCCAGAATGCAAGGTCGCTCTCGCTCCCGTTATCTCTTCCCAACACCTGCGGTCCTGTGACAGGCGGCGCGCTTGGTTCTGGCGTGGTCGAGAAACGCACCCGCACCAGAGCGATTTCTTATGGTCGATCGACCCTGAGCGACGACATGAGAATTTGAACAAACTCCACGCGTTGTTTTCCTCCAGAGTGATATTTAAGGCGACCAAAATAAGCAAAAGGTATCATCAATGTGTTTCTAGATTTTACAAAAAATGTAAACATAGAATTACCTTTGCCAGAGCATGGACAATCATTTAGGTTAGAATTGGCGCGCGATTTGAAACAAGTTGTGGGTAAAGTCGTTCTGCGCTTATCGATCCTCTCACGCGAGCCAAAGCACCGGCGCCGGCAGAGCACAGGGAACATCGTAGGAAAGATATGATATTTCTGAAGAGATTTCAGGAAAAAGGAGATCTTTTTAGACCACATATTAAGTTGTTACACGCCAGAAACATATTTCCCTTTTGCAACGATTGCAATTTTTCTCGTAAAAGAATCCCGAGATAAAAATCGTCCCACGTGAATTAAAATCTACTGATTTCTTTTTTCCATCACGAGAAAAATATTGTCATTTACATGCAAAATACTTTAATTTGATATTATTTGATGAGAATAAGCATCTATTTGTTGATACGTTATATAATTTAACTTTGTAATGCATTGTCAAAAGAATTTTGATAAAGAAAGATAAATATTATATCTTCATGTTGTATTGTTGATAGCACTTGTCAAACGTTTTAATTTAAATAAAATGCCAAACATATTATTGCACAACTATGTTACCTAAAGATTAACTCAGAAGGAGGACAAAATCTATATGAATGGTATCCCATTTGTTCTGATGTTAATATAAAGTCGATATATAAGGTGGTTCGATTTATAATAGCAGAAATATCTTCACAAAACATATCAGCATTAACATTTACTTTTCATATGGCATGATTATTCTGACAAATTTTAGTGTACTAAAATTTTGATTACAATTTTTTAAAAATATTGTTAGCATTATTTAATTTCTTTTGATATTCATAATAACAAGGCCACTTTATTGATGACCAGCTGGAGAAAAAACAAGAAAGGAACGCACAAGGAAGTGGCGCGTGTTGCGTGCACGATGCTCCTCGCCTGCGCTGTGCGCCTGCACCGGGCGCGCGCCGTCCCGACGTGGCCACACCAGCAAGCCGTCAACGCACTCCCTTCCGTAATGCTCACTCGTTCGAAGCACTTCTAGTGAATTACTATCAGAAAAACGCGTGTATTATTCTCATGACAGAATGCAATGCAATATTTTAGGTTTAACAATCCTGTTTAGAACTCACTTCTGGACTTGATTTTGTGGTGCCGCGAGATTTGAATCGACGTTAACAGCCAAAACCGATCCGGTGCGACATCGAAGTCAATAAGGGCTGACAAAATGTGACAAAATTACCAAGCACTGAACTGGAATAAAATTGATGACGTAACGTAGATTACTGGTGACAATGTGCCATCTTTCACAATATTTAAAAAAAATAATTTTCCTTCCGTATTTTAGAATTGTACTAAAGTGTTGGAAATACGCGACCTGTCAATGATAGGAATTGCGTACAATGATAGGAATTGTGTTCGGAAGAGCGGGCCTAATGACCCCATTCACACCACGTAAAATAAGGTATTAACTAACTGACAAAGCAATGTAGGAAAAAAAACATTTTCTGTTACGACGATAATTGTCAGTCAATACTGTTTAAGTGTAATTGTTTCATGCTACATTTTACAACGTGCTGCCACACAGATCAAAAAATGCAATGGATATTACATATTTTCATATATAATGGGTATCTAAAATATGTAAATAATAATATAAAATTAAAACAAAATGAATAAAAATAATTTCAAATATATTGCTATTTAAAGAATGCCCAAGACAGTTGTTAGTGCCGGCTTTAGACATACGAAAATAACAAGAATAATGTAGTACTAAATTACAACAAATAGTTTTAAAAATGTTTTTGCAAATAACAGTTACAATTTCTTCTTCAATAAAAAGGGAATCTTAAAATGATATTAAGAATTTCGCACAATTTTGATTCGTTGGCGTTTTAGGCCACCACTTTCAAAAATGTTTTCTCAATAAATCTTTATTTATTATTTTTCAAAATATTGTCTCAAGAGCATCCCATTCTACATAATAGTTTGAGCGCTTGAGATATAGTTCTGAGTTGCGTGAACGTTAGCATATCTCCTGAATTGTCATTTACTACTGATTTAATTGCAACACACTTTTTCCTCGTGACCTCGAGCAGGTTACTTTCTTTGCTTCTTTGCGACTCTTTGTAGTAACTTCCGTGAAATCTCATGTAGTTATCTTCACTTAACAGAAAAAATGTAAAAGAGGTATATAAATATTGACTTGCTCTTATCCTTCCAACCATTATCTTCCATTTTATATCACTCTCCTCTCATTATTTCTCAGTCATGATCTCCCTCTCTCTCTCATAGCCCCCCCCCCATACGCACACTCGTACAAACGCAGTTTCCTTATGTTATCTCTCTTCGAGCTGAATTCATAGTGGGCACTTCAAAGGAGAATTTCATAAGTGACCGATTGTTATTCACAGGCCGCCCTTATACTCAGATGAGTGGACAATGAGAGACTACTAATTCATTTAAAGTAGGTCGCCAATTGTCTTAAGCGTTTCTCATTTAGCATCCGATTTAACATTTAGCATGTTCTTACGCGGGACGCACTGAGAATATGGAAAACCATGACAATGATTTCGCAGACTATTTTGAAGTCTATGCACAACACATCACTCTTACTACGAAACAGTAGAAACGAGAGAAGGGTGTAGTTACGAACGTTTTGCAAAGCGCACAACCCAATTTTGGCGATCTTTGTACGAAAAATGTAGAATGTGTCTTCTATGTGGCCACAACACCACAGCAGCGGTTGGAAATGGCACGTGCCCCGTAAGGAAGCACTCATTCAGCATTTGTAACGAACATGTATGAAATAGCGACCTAGTTTATTTGCAGCCCCCATTTAGCGTCCGTCAGTATTTGCTAAGGCCTTACCTTTGATGGGGCGCGTGAAGGTGGGCGGGAAGGGCGCGGGCTCGAAGCCCGCGTACACCTTGAGCGTGGCCGAGGAGGCGGCTTCGCCGTGGGCGTTGCGCGCCACGCACGTGTACTCGCCGTCGTCGGCCGGCGAGGCGTCCAGCACGTCGAGGGCGGCGAGCCCGTCCTCGCAGCGCGCGCGGTACTTGCGGCGCTGGAGGCCCAGGTCCAGCGGGAGGCCGTCCCGCAGCCACGCCACCGAGGGCTCGGGCGCGCCCAGCACGGCGCACGTCAGCGACACGCGCGACCCCTGCGCGGCCGTGCGGTCGGTGAGGCGCGTGGCGAACACGGGCTTGCGCCGCAGCGCGCTCGCGCCACCGCCGCCCCCTCCGCCGCCGCCCGCCTGCCAATAACACGCCATGTCACACACACTATAAATCCTCTGCGACCGTCTGCCAAGCCGGAATTGGATTCACTTTTGCGTTATTTGGAAAACTGGAATGATTGTAGGGGGAATGGGAGTGAGTTAATGTGAACGAAATTTGTCCGTCGGAAGTCTGGAGCGGATTCCTGTTTGTAAGGCTCGTTATGCTACGAGAGAAACCTACTCGGGACGTCACAACACCGCGCACCAACATCGCTGGGCAAGTGTTAGTTGAGCAGCCCGCATGACGTGTGTGTGTGTTCTCATGTTGCGGCGACCCCTCGAATTGTTAGAGTGCAGTAATATAAGCTGGGGCACCGAAGACGAGAAGTAGAAGATGATGAATAAGAAGGAAGTGGATGAAGATAAGAAGAACAGGTAGAATAAGGGCAATGAGGATCAGAAGGAGGAGAAGAAACAGAACAAGGAAAAAGGAGAAAACAGAACAGGAAGAAGAAAAATAAGAGAAAAAGAGAAGAAGAAAAATGAGAATTAGAAGAAAGCACTTTTGATGTAGTTATCCAAACGCGATTATATACAAGGATATACTGAATGATGGGCCAAGAGATATGTCTTTAAGCTACATTTCAATTTAGGATGTGAGATTAAACCGCATCACCAGTAATGATGAAATATTCCATAAATATTCTTTATGGTAAAAAATTTGAAGCACCAAGGCATTCTATAAGCACGTTTGCTGCTGGAGAAGGAAAGTTTGAAGGGGCCGGAGATTTGGGAAAAAGTTAAAAAAGTTCTATTTGATGTTAGATGCATTAATCAAAACATCTCACTTCACATCTTCATGAACCAGTTTTTGTCATGTCACCCAGCTATAATCTTTCAAGGTAACTAAAGTAATTCCATAATTAGGAAAATTAAAAGAAGAAAAAGAAGGTTAATGTAATTGTTCGTGCAAGGGATACAATTTCTGAAATGAGACGCATCAAGATACAGTATGTTTTGATATTAAATATGGAAATAAAATACAGCGCAAATTTGAAGAATTAGATTAAGGAACGTTATCATTTGTTCTTGAAATGAATCATATTCACAAATAGAAAGTTTCATAACTTACATAACATTAAAACACGGCTGGGTTTGGTCACTAGACACACATTGTAAATGCATTTTCAGGAACGCGGGCGGCGTACCTGCACGTGGACGGGCGGTCGTCGCGCGGCGTCGTGTGGCAAGTCGGGCGTGTCGGCGAGGCTGGCGTCGTCGAGCGCGCGCCGGGGCGTGAGCGTGCTGCTGGTGTCGGAGGCGGAGGCGGAGAAGGAGAGGTCGGCCGCCAGGGCCACGCCCTCGTCCCCGGGCCGCACGTCGAAGCTGCGCGAGCGCTGCACGGCGACGGCGACGGCGACGGCGCTGGCGCTGGCGCTCCAGACGGGTGGCGCGGCGTCGCTCTCGTCCCGGCTGCCCTGGCGGCTGCCCTGGCGGCTGCCCTGGCGGCTGCGGCGCCGCGCCTCCAGCTGCCCGCGCATCGCCTCCTTCTGGTCTGTCACCTTCGAGTCGGCGTCCCTCCCCTGCCGCCTCACGCTCTTCGTCTTTCCGGCGTCTTCCTCTTCTTCTTGTTCCTTCTCTTTCCGTTTAGAGTCTGCATCCAACATTTCCTTTTCATTCTTCTTAGCCTCTGCATCTACCTCTTCCGTCTTTTTCTTTGCTTCAGCTTCGGCTTTTTTCTTCTTCTTAGCCTCTGCCTCTTCCTCCTTTTTCTTTGCCTCTGCTTCTTCCTTTTCTTTCTTCTTTTTTCCCTCAGCTTCTTCTTTTTCCTTCTTCTTAGCCTCTTCCTCTTCCTTCTTTTTCTTTGCCTCAGTTTCCTCCTTCTCTTTCTTCTTCTTTGCCTCAGCTTCTTGCTGTTCTTTCTTTTTCTTAGCCTCTGCCTCTTCCCCTTCCTTCTTTTTCTTTGCCTCAGCTTCCTCCTTCTCTTTCTTTTTCTTTGCCTCAGCTTCGGCCTTTTCCTTCTTCTTCTTAGCCTCTGCCTCTTCCTCCTTTTTCTTTGCCTCTGCTTCTTCCTTTTCTTTCTTCTTCTTTCCCTCAGCTTCTTCCTTTTCCTTCTTTTTCTTAGCCTCTGCCTCTTCCTCTTCCTTCTTTTTCTTTGCCTCAGCCTCTTTTTCTTTCTTTTTCTTTGCCTCAGCTTCGGCCTTTTCTTTCTTCTTAGCCTCTTCCTCATCCTTCTTTTTCTTAACCTCGGCTTCCTCCTTCTCTTTCCTCTTCTTTGCCTCAGCTTCTTCCTTTTCCTTTTTTATCTTAGCCTCTGCCTCTTCCTCTTCCTTCTTTTTCTTTGCCTCAGCCTCCTCTTTTTCTTTCTTCTTCTTTGCATCAGCTTCTTCCTTTTCCTTCTTTTCCTTAGCCTCTGCCTCTTCCTTCTTTTTCGTTGCCTCAGCTTCCTCCTTTTCCTTCTTTTTCTTAGCCTCTGTCTCTTCCTTTTCCTTCTTTTTCTTAGCCTCTGACTCTGCCTCTTCCTTCTTTTTCTTTGCCTCCGCGTCTTCTTTTTCTTGCTTTTTCTTTGCCTCAGCTTCAGCTTTTTCCTTCTTCTTAGCCTCTTCCTCATCCTTCTTTTTCTTAACCTCGGCTTCCTCCTTCTCTTTCTTCTTCTTTGCCTCAGCTTCTTCCTTTTCCTTCTTTTTCTTAGCCTCTGCCTCTTCCTCTTCCTTCTTTTTCTTTGCCTCCTCCTCTTTTTCTTGCTTTTTCTTTGCCTCAGCTGCTGCCTTTTCCTTCTTCTTAGCCTCTGCCTCTTCCTCTTCCTTCATTTTTTTTGTTTCAGCTTCCTCCTTTTCTTTCTTCTTCTTTGCGTCAGCTTCTTCCTTTTCCTTCTTTTTCTTAGCCTCTTCCTTCTTTTTCTTTGCCTCAGCTTCCTCCTTTTCGTTCATCTTCTTTGCATCAGCTTCTTCCTTTTCCTTCTTTTTCTTAGCCTCTGCCTCTTCCTCTTCCTTCTTTTTCTTTTCCTCCTCCTCCTCTTTTTCTTGCTTTTTCTTTGCCTCAGCTGTCGCCTTTTCCTTCTTCTTAGCCTCTGCCTCTTCCTTCATTTTCTTTGCTTCAGCTTCCTCCTTTTCTTTCTTCTTCTTCTTTGCGTCACCTTCTTCCTTTTCCTTCTTTTTCTTAGCCTCTGCCTCTTCCTCTTCCTTATTTTTCTTTGCCTCCGCCTCTTCTTTTTCTTGCTTTATCTTTGCCTCAGCTTCCGCATTTTCCATCTCCTTAGCTTCTGTCTCTTCCTTCTTTTTCTTCGCCTCAGCCTCCTCCATTTCTTTCTTCTTCTTTGCCTCAGCTTCTTTTTGAGCCTTCTTCCTCTCAGCGCTTGCCTCTTCTTCTTCCTTTTTCTTTGCCTCAGCCTTCTCTTTTTCTTTTTTTTTCTTTGCCTCAGCTTCTTCCATTTCCTTCTTCCTAGCCTCTGCGTCTTCCTGATCCTTCTTTTTCTTTACTTCAGCCTCGTCTTTTTCCCTCTTTTTCTTTGTCTCAGCTTCGGCCATTTCTTTCCTCTTAGCTTCTGCCTCTTCCTCCTTTTTCTTTGTTTCGGCATCCTCCTGTTCCTTCTTCTTCTTTTTTGCCTCAGCTTCTTCCATTTCCTTCTTCTTTTTAGCCTCTGCCTCTTCCTCTTCCTTCTTTTTCTTTGCCTCAGCCTCCTCTTTTTCTTTCTTTTTCTTGGCTTCAGCTTCGGCCTTTTCCTTCTTCTTAGCCTCTTCCTCATCCTTCTTTTTCTTAACCTCGGCTTCCTCCTTCTCTTTCTTCTTCTTTGCCTCAGCTTCTTCCTTTTCCTTAGCGTCTGCCTCTCCCTCTTCCTTCTTTTTCTTGACTTTAGGCTCCTGTTTTTCATTCTCTTTCTTAGCTTCGTGTTCATCCGTTTCTTTCTTCTTTTCTGTTTCGACTTCTTCTCCTTTCTTCTTTTTGGCGTCGGTTGTTTCATTTTCATTCTTAGTCTTAACTTCTGAATCTTGTATTTGCTCTTTGTCCTTTGCTTGTGTTTTCATTTCTTGTGTCCCCTGTTCCTTAAGTATTTGTTGCCCAGTTCGTCCGAGGTGCACAGAAGGCATATCGCGGACGCTTGCCGTCGCCATGTCGGCATCGTCTTGGGTGGCGGCGGTGGCGGCCTGCGCGCTGCCGGCTTCCCCCTGGGCGAGGGGCTCCGCGCCTGCCAGCGCCCACGCCGCCTGCACCTCCAGGGCCGCTTGCAGGCGCGCGGACGCGTCCGCCAGACTGGCCACCTCCTCGGTCGGCAGCGACGCCACCCCCGAGAGCGACTCGGCGCTGTCCTCCGCCTGAGCTGCGTCGGCCTCCGAGTGCTGGCGCGCGGCGGCGAGC